ATCTCTGAAGATCTCAGCAGAGGAGGATTAAACAACTACACAAACTGCATAACATTCCTTATAGGACTTTAGGGGGACGTTCCGTAATGGTAATCTTATGGTCACATAACAACGTTACAAAGAGGATGTAATCAAAACGTTCTCATATGGGTCTAAGTTGGTCCTATTATAACGTTCCTTAAATTACTTTAGGGAGACGTTCCGTAATGGTAATCTTATGGTCACATAACAACGTTACAAAGAGGATGTAATCAAAACGTTCTCATATGGGTCTAAGTTGGTCCTATTATAACGTTGCTTAAATTACTTTAGGGAGACGTTCCGTAATGGTAATCTTATGGTCACATAACAACATTACAAAGAGGACGTAATCAAAACGTTCGCATATGGGTCTAAGTTGGTCCTATTATAACGTTCCTTATAGGACTTTAGGGAGACGTTCCGTAATGGTAATCTTATGGTCACATAACAATGTTAAAAAGAGGACGTAATCAAAACGTTCTCATATGGGTCTAAGTTGGTCCTATTATAACGTTCCTTATAGGACTTTAGGGAGACGTTCCGTAATGCTAATCTTATGGTCACATAACAACGTTACAAAGAGGACGTAATCAAAACGTTCGCATATGGGTCTAAGTTGGTTCTATTATAACGTTCCTTATAGGACTTTAGGGGGATGTTCCATAATGGTAATCTTATGGTCACATAACAACGTTACAAAGAGGACGTAATCAAAACGTTCTCATATGGGTCTAAGGTGGTCCTATTATAACGTTCCTTATAGGACTTTAGGGGGACGTTCCGTAATGGTAATCTTATGGTCACATAGCAACATTACAAAGGGGACATAATAAGGACGTTCCCATATGGTTCTCTGTTGACCATATGAGAACGTTTTGTGACTAACTTAATGAGAACATTCTAATATGGGTCTAAGTTGGTCATAAAAAATAACCTCCCTTATAGGACTTTAGGGCGACATTCCATATTGGTTATTTTATGGTCACACAACAACGTTACAAAGAGGACATAATCAGAGCGTTCGGATATGGTTCTAAGTTGGTCATATTATAACGTTCCTTATATGACTTTAGGGGGACGTTCCGTAAGGGTAATCTTATGGTCACACAACAACGTTACAAAATGGATGTAATCAAAACGTTCTCATATGGGTCTAAGTTGGTCATACAATGACGTTCTTTATGTGACTTTAGGGGAACGTTCCATATTGGTTATTTTATGGTCACATAGCAACATTACAAAGAGGACATAATAAGGAGGTTCCCATATGGTTCTCTGTTGACCATATGAGAACGTTTTGTGACTAACTTAATGAGAACATTCTCATATACATCACGCTTTGTGCGCGGTGACGTGGGACGAACCGAGGTTCAACTTCCGTCAACTTCTGTCACGTTTATCTGGTTTGTCTGCGGGCTGGACCCTTCTCGGACGGACACCTGACGGCGGTCTTTTTCCTGTTTTCTTCACCGACAGCGTGCCAGAAAAAGCCAATGTGATTATCATGTTATTTTAATGAACCATTCTCGCGTAGATGGTCAGGCTATATTGGCTTTTTTTTAGATAAACAAGCTAACGTAAGCGCTAGGCCTATTCCAATTTGCTTATTTTAATTCTTGTTTACATAGCCTGCACAGTCTCTTCACGAAATCTAAGCGGCATAAAGTTCAATGCGAGGGTCTTTAGAATATGTTTGTATTATTTTTGTCTCTTTTCTTTTATTGTCATTTTTTTCCTATTATTTGGTAAAGGCTACACCACTTTTCCATGGGAAAAAAGTTGTGGTGATCCCGCTATTTGGCTCGGTGATGTAAAACAGTCTTTTACAATTGTTATTATAAAATCAAGAATGCAGACGTTTTAAGCTCAGCAACAATGGCAGCAAAATGTACACAGTATATTAAAAAAAAACTCCTGTCACACACACAGAGCCTGCAGATCAGGTTGAAGCGGAGAAGCATCAGCTTCTTATTCTTTAAATATAACAGAAGACCTTAATAGGACAAAAAAATTATATTCTAAGTTGGTCCCTAAAAGTTCTGCAGGACGTTCTCAGAATGTTTTGGAAACATTGGATTTCTGAATTAAATATGGTCTTCTAAACGTTCCCAGAACGTCCTGAATGTTCCCTAAAGGTCCTCCAAATAACGTCCACAAACCCTTTAAATAACTCCACATCGTGACTGTCTGGGAACGTTGTGGGAACATTACTGTAACGATCACCAGCTGGAGTGCCCTCGAGAGCCACCAGAGGGCGCTCCACAATAGACTATGATCACTTCCTCACAAACTACATTTCCCATAACTCACTGCCCGGATTCATCAGCACTGATTTCATTCACCTGTGTCTTAATACCTGGTTTTCACATTCACTCGTGCAAAGTATTGCTTTCCCAGTGAACTATTCCGGGGTACGTTTCCCGAAAGCATCGTTAGCCAACTATGGTCGCAAGTTCCGTCGTTACCAATAGAGTTCAATGGGATTTGCGACCAACTTGCGACCATAGTTGGGTAACGATGCTTTCGGGAAACGCACCCCTGAGCGTTTGTACCCTGTGTTTGTTTACCTGTTACGACTTTATCTGGACCTTACCTCTCGTTGTCTGCTGCCTGCCTTACTCTCTGCCTGGATCTTGGACTCTGATTGTGTGTATTCTGCTCTGCTTATATCGCTGGTATTCGACCCTTGCCTGTCTGACCCTGTTATTTAATAAAGCCTGCAAATGGATCTCTCCTCGTCCGCTGCATCATTACAATTACCAAGCGACGTTCCTGACACCAGCGGGACGTTCTCAGAATGTTTTGGAAGCATTGGATTTCTGAATTAAATCTTGTCCTCTAAACGTTCCCAGAACATCCTGAATGTTCCCTGAAGGTCCTCCAAATAACGTCCCCAAACCCTTTAAAGAACTCCACATCGTGTCCGTCTGGGAACGTTGTGGGAACGTTACCAGGCGACGTCCTTGACACCAGCGGGGACGTTCTCAGAACGTTCTGGGAACATTGGATTTCTGAATTAAATATTGTCCTCTAAACGTTTCCAGAACGTCCTGAATGTTCCCTGAAGGTCCTCCAAATAACGTCCCCAAACCCTTTAAAGAACTCCACATCGTGTCTGTCTGGGAACGTTGTGGGAACGTTACCAGGCGGCGTCCTTGACACCAGCGGGGACGTTCTCAGAATGTTCTGGGAACATTGGATTTCTGAATTAAATATTGTCCTCTAAACGTTCCCAGAACGTCCTGAATGTTCCCTGAAGGTCCTCCAAATAACGTCCCCAAACCCTTTAAAGAACTCCGCATCGTGTCTGTCTGGAAACGTTGTGGGAACGTTACCAGGCGACGTCCTTGACACCAGCGGGGACGTTCTCAGAATGTTCTGGGAACATTGGATTTCTGAATTAAATATTGTCCTCTAAACGTTCCCAGAACATCCTGAATGTTCCCTGAAGGTCCTCCAAATAACGTCCCCAAACCCTTTAAAGAACTCCACATCGTGTCTGTCTGGGAACGTTGTGGGAAAGTTACCAGGCGACGTCCTTGACACCAGCGGGGACGTTCTCAGAATGTTCTGGGAACATTGGATTTCTGAATTAAATATTGTCCTCTAAACATTCCCAGAACATCCTGAATGTTCCCTGAAGGTCCTCCAAATAACGTCCCCAAACCCTTTAAAGAACTCCACATCATGTCTGTCTGGGAACGTTGTGGGAACGTTACCAGGCGGCGTCCTTGACACCAGCGGGGACGTTCTCAGAATGTTCTGGGAACATTGGATTTCTGAATTAAATATTGTCCTCTAAACGTTCCCAGAACATCCTGAATGTTCCCTGAAGGTCCTCCAAATAACGTCCCCAAACCCTTTAAAGAACTCCACATCGTGTCTGTCTGGGAACGTTGTGGGAACGTTACCAGGCAACGTCCTTGACACCAGCGGGGACATTCTCAGAACGTTCTGGGAACGTAAAATTTCTAGCTGGGACAAACAAAAAAATGTACAGCACAAACGAAGTAAAAACTATTGAGCCTATATTTTGCCGACATTCCCTTCTTTTATTCATTTTCCAAAGCACATAATCACCCGTGGCCCTATTTATAATATCCTGAGATTCTGATTGGTGTGTCATCAGTTTTGCTAATGCTTACACATGGATAAATGTGTGCTTTTGGGTGGGGGTTATGTAAATCTTAGGGTTTGTGATGTCACTAACCCGGGAGGAATGTCGTGTAGTCCCTACCAGCCGTTATAGTCCTTAAAAAGCAATTTCTTTAAAAGAAAATATCTCCCTTTGCTTTGAACTTTGAGCGTTGTAAATTTGCAGATGTTGTTTATGCTCAAACAGCAACATTACACACTAACTAAAGTTAGAAAAGCGAAATCATAATCAACCACCCCTTTAATACTCGCCAAGAGTGGTTCCTCTTTCAGCAGTTTCACCCTGGAGATAGAGCCTGTCAGCAGGAGCCCGATCCAGTTTACAAGTAGCCACCTTTATTTTTATAGCGCTTTATACAATAGAAAATGTTTCAAAGCAGCTTCACAATAATCAACAGAACAGGAACAAATTAATGATATTAACTTCATCAAATATGAGACAACTTCAAATTCAGCTGTAAAGCAGCTGTACTAGCAAGAGAATAGTGTCATTATTCAGCTCAGCACAGTTCAGTGATAATTCATTCATTAATCGACCTCTCCTCTACCCCTCCATAACAGAGAGACTATGAACCACAGCACTGGTTTAAAGAGCTGCATCAGGTTTATGAGCAAAGACTCTAAACCACTAGAAACTTGAGACAAAGAGACAAAGAAATGAAAAAAAAAAGACAAAGAATTTCCTCTAGCGACAAAAAATATGCATTTCCAGCATTAATCAGTTGCTTTGAGTTTTTCATATTATCAGTATCAAAGTGTTACTAAAGTACAAACCCACATGACTCATTTCATGAACTTCACATAATGTAAGCTAAATAATTAGCTTATTTTTTACAATAAGCCGATAAGTTTACCACACATATAATTTAAATCATATAGTAGATTTACAAGTTATAATACACACAAATTACTTACAACATTAAAAGTGGTGTGTGTTCATTGGTTTTAAATGTTAGGAAGTCAGCTGAGGATGGTTTGAGAATGTGAATGTCACCTTTAAATAACACAAACACACTATAAACAGTATTATTTACACTGTAGATATTAATGACATATTTTTATGAGATGAGTCCAAGACGTTTCTTGATGAAATGAACCACAAGGCGCTGCGGTCTCTGCTGATATTCCAGAAGAGCATCATGAGGTGAAGAAATCTGATCTCCCTCAAACCTGTTCAGCAGAGTCACACACACCACTGCAGCTGCAAAAAAATATCATGCCATTAACCACTTTGAAGTAGTTTTAAGGTAATTCAATGCTGCATAACAAAGCAGTACTACAAGGCAGGACTATGTGCTATACATAAGGGTTAGTTCAAGCAAAGATAAAGTTCTGTTATAAGATCTTAGGCAGAATGTCCAAGACAGATTACAAGCAATATTATTAATTCAATTTAACAAATTAGAATTGAGTAATAATTAATCAAATGAATTCCTTAAAAGTTAACCATTTAAAATGAGTAAAATTTTCACAAAAAAAATTAAACAAAAATAGCTGAATAACAGACAGACGTCAAAGATGAATTAAGAACTCTTTATTTGATATTGCCAACATTGAAGACACCTGATGTTAACAAGCAGAATCACAGAAGGAGAAAACCGTAATTTCAAGTCGCCATTATGGTGATCAGTATTTAGTTTAATTGGGCTCTTGACCCTTAATTCATTATCTTCAAGTTTTGTTTGGATGCTGTACCTGAGTTATAACAGCCAGAACAAATAGAAAAGGTGATCTGATGGTGTTGGTTATGTTTTAACATAATCACCATTTCACAATCATTTGACCTGAATCACTGAACTCAGTTAGGTTTACTTTATTAATTATAGCAGCACTGTCCTTATACAGCATATTTGTAACTTTTACAATGTAATCGAAAATAATTTCTAAAACGTTTCTCTTAGACAAAAAAGTGACACATTCTCTTTTTTTAAAATACACAGACATCAAGATTCAGCCTGTGCATCTCAACAATGGTGACAATTATAAAGCATGTTGCTGTGCATTCTGGGTGCCACCAATAAAAAATCATTCATGGCTCCCATCATGCATTGCTGCATGAATAAATAATGAGCTTATGATCAGAGGTGATCTGTTTGTCACCACTGCTGAGATTCATACGTTAAATCTTGATGTCTGTGTGTGCCTACATAAAAAAATACATGTATGAAAATGTTTTATTGATTTGATCATTTGGATTTCATTGAGAAGGTTAAAAATATTTTGCTGTACAAGGCTAGTGCTGCTATAATTAAGTAAATCTAACTAAGAAATTGGGCTCAGTGATTCAGGTCTAATGATTGTGAAATAATGATTATGTTAAAACTAGGGCTTGACAGTTAAACGCGCCTTTTGGCCTAGCAAACTTTGTAGTTTTTTCACATGCTTTTGCAACAGGACGCGGCATGCGCAAGGACGTTTTGTTGCTTCGTCGACCAAAGCGCACGCGGATCTAGCTAGACCGGAAACAAAACAACAGGCACGCCGCACACACTTGTTTGGGCTTGCCAGCCGGCCAAATAGTTGGTTAACGTTACGTTTTGAGTGGATGACGAGCGCAAGACGCCGAAATGGATGCCAATAAGATTCTGAATGGAAAGTTTACTTTTAAAAAGTTGCCAAATGGTTCCATTGACAAGACCAAAGGGATCTGTGTGTTTTGTCGTTGTGAACTAAGCTATCATCATCGCAGCACGTCCAGTCTGAAATACCACTTGATGATGGCCAAGCACACACACACAGCTGATGCGAATTCTCCGCCCCCTCATCAATATCAGGACCTCGTCAGTATTTCTTTCACCCTTTTATTGATGGACAGTGTTACATTGTGTGAGAGATTATTTGCTCCAAGTGAGACTGTTAGTGTGAAATTGAACACAGTATATGCCAATGTTGTTTTCAATAAAAAACATTTGCACAAAGCAAGCCGATCCACTTTTCCATGTTGAAAAGAGCATTAAAATGAGAAACAATAATGGGACTAAAAGAAATCAAGAGACGATTAAATATTTTAATCATTTGACAGCACTAGTTAAAACATAACCAACACCATCAGATCACCTTTTATAGTTGTTCATCTGGCTGTTATGACTCAGGTACAGCAGCCAAACAAATCTTAAAGTTAATGACTTAAGGGTCAAGAGTCCAACTAAAACAATCACTGATCACCATAATGGTGACTTAAAATTATGGTTTTCTCCTTCAGTGAAGAATCACTGAAGGAGAAAACCATAATTTTAAGTCAGGTCAGCTTGTTAACATCAGGTGTCTTCAATGTTGGCAATATAAAATAAAGAGTTCTTAATTCATCTTTGACGTCTGTCTGTTATTCAGATATTTTTGTTGATTTTTTTTGTGTGTAAATTTTACTCATTTTAAATGGAACTTTTAAGGAAATTCATTTGATTAATTATTACTCAATTCTAATTTGTTAAATTGAATTAATAATATTGCTTGTAATCTGTTGCCACAATTTTATCAATTAGATATAGCATATTCATTTTTACAGTGTACAATAGCTTTGTGTGTGAGGAACACAATCAAATCCTATACGTCAATTTACACAATCACTTAAAACCTTTGCCTTTTCAAAAGCTCTCAAATCATACTTGCAAAGCTCAAAAATGTCTAAAGCTTTGCATGTTTTTCAAACTTGGTGAAAAAGCACTGATGTTAACCCCGGAGTGATGTGCCTAAAGCAGCAGTGTCTGATTCTGCGCCTGAAGGACCACCATCCTGAAAAGTTTAGCTCCAACTTCCAGATAATTCTGTTTTTATAATGTTATTTTTAGAGCTTGACAATATAAATAACCAACCACTTTCCTAGTATGGAGAAAAGCAACTCGGACATTCTAATTAAAATCTAATTTGGTATTTCATTTCATTTGATTTATTGAGTGTCTTTTCGAAAGCATGCCAAAAAGGTAGCCAATATTATTAAATACAATTTTGTGACCATATCTAACAACAGAGGCAGCAGCTTTTTATACATTCTATGGTCTTTTTCTCATATCACACATTACTTCACTAGTCACAAGCAAGCATAATAATTAAAAAAATCTATTTGAATCCCTTTACAAACAGACATATAAAACGCTTGATCGGAGGACTGTTAGTTTTCATCGTTGCAATATAGTTAAAAATAAAATCTATATTAAAATTTGTAAGATTTTAAATGGACATTAAGCCAGTTTATAATGCAGAAGGATAATAGTGGCAGAGCAACAAGAGCAACTACTAGAAGAGACTGTGTTCAACAATTTACATTGGGACGATCAGTCTTTTCAGATAAAGCCATTCATTATTGGAATACTTTAACAACTCAGTTGAAGGATAGTAGAAATTATTCAACATTGGCTAAAAGCAAATCAAACTTGTAATCATGTGTAAATAAATCATCTTTTTAATATACTTCTATTATTAGTAGTGTTAATGTTTTGAGGTTTGTTAAATGTTTTTTTTTATCATTACTTAATCATGGAGAAGTTTTTCTTGGTTTTATTATATTGACATATGTTTGATCAATTGTGGATAATTGTGATTTTTATTTATTTTTTTATTTTAGGTTGCCATTTTAAAAGTTTGCAAGATGGAACGGTTAGCCTGTTGTTGGGCTAAATCTGGCTTATTTAAAGTGTCTGACAGTTGATTGATGAGCACTGTCTCTATTAAAATAATTGATACGATTTGATTTGAGAGTGAAAAAAACTGTTAAATTCATACAAATTTAAATTATAAAAAAGATTGTAGCTTTTCAAGTCAAGTTTATTCATATAAGGCTTAATGCAATTTAAATATAGCCAAAAAACTTAAGTTTCAGAAACAAATCAGCTTAACAGAGGACAATACAGTGTTAGTGAATTAAGAGCTGCATTTTCAATTATAGTCCCTTCAATACTTTATACTGACGATTATTTTTGTTTATCCCCCTAATAAGCAGCCCAAAGGCAACAGACAAAGGCGGTTCTCTGTTTCTACATTTTGTAAAAAAGAAAAAAGAACAAAGAAACAACATGCAATTTTTAACATGAAATGAGATCATTCCTATACGTCAATTTATATATCAGCCTTAAGGGGCTTATGGTGGCCCCTTTAAAAAATGACCTACTCTGGTACTCTGTGTAGTGATGATGACAACAGACAATGTAAATTTCTGTACCTTTAAGATTGCAGACACGACACATGGCAGCAAAGACAGTGGATTCCATCTCAATGTTCCTGACGCCTGCCTCGTTGGCTTTCCTCAGATATTCGAATTTTTCTTCAGTGGAAAATGAGCACAGGGCTCCATCCAGTCGCCCCTGACCTATTCAGGAAAAGGAGGTTAGGTATGTCTTGTCACTACCTAAGAAATATCCTTTAAGTGTGCTGTCTTCAAAAGCACATTAAGATATAGATCCATCGATCCATCTATCAATCTGTTTTTGAATGCTTGTGTGTGAGAGGCCATGCTCTGTAAATACAGTCACGGTTAAAGCAGTTGTTAGGCAAGTCTGACATTTAAACTACGGTTATGGGTGACACACACAGTATAGCTGGTGAACAGATTAGACATAACTACTATACTATATTTTATACAACTATATTGTATATTTTAGTATGGCTAGAACACTGTATTGACCAATCAACATCCAGCACTGAAACAATCTGTTTTTTTGTATCTGATTTTTACATTTCAGCAACTTACATTTAATTCAGTACATTTGATGAGTTCATGCATTCACTGGGAATCAAACCTATCATGGCATCACTAACAACATGCTGTACTGTTTAAGCTGTATACAGGACCAAACCCAGTATGGGCAATAAAACAAAGTACAAAAACATTGCAGTACCTTCGTAGAAGTCATGTGTGCACATTGTGTTTCCAATAACAGTAGGAATATCTGGAAGCTCTGAGGAATACTGCAGGAGCTCTTGGGCTACATCTTCATCTAGCTCTGTGCTCCTGATGATAACCTTTCCCAAAACCACCTGCTCAAACTGGGGCCTGAAGAAAGAGTCCACAGCTTTATCTGTGATCACTACGGTCCCTGCAGCCAGACCTGTGTGTTCAAACAAACGGCAAACATTTACTAGAAAGTAGAAAACCCATATACTTCATGTCCCCCTCCATCCAGCAGTTTTAAATTTCATATGTAATGCTTCAGAATTGACTGATTCATTTTGGAGTCTTCACAATTGCCATTAAAGTTAAATCCGTTTCCTCAGAGTGATGTATTTGTGCTTCATAACTCAATGATACAATTAAGCAGGAAGTAGCCTACTCACCAACTCCACCTGACGTGCCAATGCGAAAGATGATGACATCACGACAACGAGCATGATAGAGCATTTTAATGAGCTCATGCAGCATGATGGAGATGGAGGGAACGCCCATGCCATGCTGTCAGAGACAAAACGGAGGAGAATACATCAATTATGATGCAAGTGAAAAAATATAGCCCACTACAGATTATGATTAATAATGATTGATGCTAATGATTACACGTTTCATCCAATCATTAATTGTTGCAAGTATATAGCTTATAGCTTAGTCTGACCACAAGTTCTCCACACACACACACACACACACACACACACACACACACACACACACACACACACACACACACACACACACACACACACACACACACACACACACACACACACACACACACACACACACACACACACACACACACACACACACACACACACACACACAGAGAGAGAGAGAGAGAGAGAGAGAGAGATCATTAGCTCAGTAGTATTCACTGGCTTTGGGATAAATGTCAACTACCACTTGATAATATTTATCCTGGATACAGTGAAATGCTCCTACAGTACATTAACCTACGTCAGATGATCTTCATAAAAAAAAAATTCAAATCAATTTACAGGTATGTATGATGAATAAACTCTCATTCAAATACAAGCCTCATCAGGATTTCAGACACTCACGCTAATGGACAGCACAGGTCCCACTTTATACATGGAGTATCGGTCCGTTCCCTCACAGATATCTCTGATGTCAGCAATGTTTCCAGGCAGCTCCAGCTGCTCATGGATGAACTGGGCAAAAGATCTCATCCGATTAGGACTTCCGCCAACACAAACAAACTACAGAAGAGATAACAGACAGAAAAACATAGCTAAATGAATCACTTTCCATTTTCCAACCAAAAGTAACATTTTGCATTAAACTCTGATGTTGCTTTTGTTTTGTTCTGTGGACTTTAAGGTTGTTTTTTTTTGTCCCTTTCAAGAATTGCCCTTTACTGGCATTACATGTAGCTCAAGAAGTCTTAATCACAAAATTCAGATGTATTATTTCAGCTATTCTAAAATCTTGGTTTAATGGAGAAGAGGATAAGAGGTCTAATTCATGGATCTAAAGCGCCATGCCCTTTCTGGAATAATACCCTTCTGTTGTATGTCAGTAATCCTTTAAATTATTCTCCCTGCTCCTCAAAAGGTGTGTTTACTTCCTGTAATATATTTAATGGTAACAGACTACGTACATTTCAGGATATTCTAGCAGGATTTTTTTTTCTTCCTCTATAATTTGTTTTCAAACTGCTTTAATTGATTCCGGCCGATTGGATTATTGAAAAATAAGCCACACCCTGATAATGATGCTAAATGAAAATAGTCTCAGGCAACTGATTTTCTGACATAACTGTCCTAACAAAATAATTCTGACTCAAATAAATATTCATTTCTTTATTAATTTATTATCCAAATAATAAATGAAAATATTGCACAATCAGCTGGAGATTATCACAAAATAACAAAATACATCAACCATAATTTTCATCAATCATCCTCTACAGTCCTAAAGACTATATCTTTCTTCAAGATTATTACATTTAATTTAACCTTAAATCTGCTGTCTAAGGCTAGGTCTAAATTTGAAAATGCCATTATCATTTCCAAACTCTCCATACTAGAATTTTCATGCATTTTCCAAAAGTTGCTCGTCCACACTGAAACTTACTGTTCATGTTAAAGTTATGATAAAAGCTCACTTAGATAATACCGAAAAACAGACACAATAAAGTTCTCATGCTATTTTCATATCACAATATTTTTATTAGCAAAATATCCCACCACTCAATGTTGCTTCCAGGTCGCAATCAATCGCTATTCCATGTATGGTCTAAAACACAATTACCCTCATGTTTTAACGCAGGACAGCAATGCAAAGCATCTGTCATTATTGTAGAAATTGTAATATGAAGATTGAATAAAGTAACATTTATTTTTAACAACATTATGAAAGTAAAAAGCCTAACTCATGTCTGGTCAGGACTTCTGTACACACCTTTACATCCCCAAACATTTGGGGCAGGTCATGGGTCTTGGTGCCCAGGTTTAAGTGGTACAGGATGTCCTCTTCCATGCTGTCCAGGTGAGGGTTTTTCACATACTCCACCTGTCTGTGACACATCACATCTGTTATTGCTGTGGACTAAGAGAAGTTAGACTGTTAAACACAAATATTTCATATGTTTCATATAACTCGACATTCATGAAGTCATCAAGATAGTGTAAAAAACAGCAAAAGTAAAAACTGTGCTTTACTCAAAAAGTATCAATCTAATTAAAAAAACTGATTATGAAAAAAATGAGTTAGAAATAGAATGAAATCAAGGACCAAGGAGATTTTCTCATTAAAATATCTTTGCATAGCAACAAGCACATTTTCTCAATATCCTGACTATTTAGACATCAGAACTGAACCGAACCCAGTATATCCAAAGACCCAAACAAGCCCACACATGAAGTCTTTACACATTCATCAACCAGACATTGTTCAGTTAATCTGTTAAATATGTGTGATTTCTGAGTAAATGAAAGTTATCGTACTGAATGTAACTGCTGTGTTCATTTCCAATGCTGTTCAGTAAAATAGGTGCCATGATTGCAGTTCTCGATAATCTGCAAGAGAGCGGTAAATATAAATTCATTATATGTTCACATATATAGGAAACAGAAACATGCAGAATTTATTCCATTTTTGTACCTGGCAGCAGTTGTATCTTTCAAGAAAATCCTTTAATCCTTTAGTTCTACTGCTAACTTTTGCCCCTTTACTATGCAGACCTTTGTGTCATCAGGACCTTTGTAGAATAAAAATGTGTCTCACTAAGACAGGCTCTTATAGAGAGCTCAGTATTCTCTGATTGGTTATAGAGGGAGGTGTAGCACCTTCTCCCTCTGTCTCCACATGGTTACTGATCTCCCTTGATATGTTAACAAATAGACTTATGCTCTACAGAGAGATGCAGGACTGCGCCAACATCAACACAGTTTAATAAACAGTCAAATCTATACTTGAAGTGTGTGCACGGTTTGATGTGCATGTGTATGTGTTTAGCTTATCTAAACATATCTTATGTAACTTTATCTTGTGTCCTGCACCTTCACCACTCCATCATCTGCTCCAACCCATCCATTGAAAATAAAGTTTTAAAATGTCTGTTTTGTAAATAAAAATAATGCGTAGGCACTGCGCATAGTTGTGTACATTGATAGATCATATGGTGACTGCACCAGTGTTTGAATGATTAAGTAACAATCAATAGAGCTAGCAAAGCTAAATACTAAAAATTTATATTGTTTGTGTTAATTTATTTAAGAAAATATTGACATTCACTGCAGAGGATGTGCAGTTCTGTCCTTAAAGTTGGCCTCTATTCTTTGTCTTGCAATAACGTTAAGTTGTAAGTACAGTGCTTCATTACATCAAAAAAAATGGAGAACACAGAATCCAAAGCAAGCAGTAACAGAAAAAAGTATATTGTAACAAAGTAAACTAATTTTGCAATTACGTAAAAAAGATTAGTAATGACAACTTACAGTAGTAAGGTGAATAAATTGTATACTGTATGCACTGCATATATATATACTGTATGCACTGCATATATATATATAGCATTGTACTGAATATTGTAGTAGTCCTATCGTCTGTATATTCTGTATATTCAGCACTTGCATACTGTGAAAATACAGTGACCCAACTGCAAAAGGTTACAGTAAAAAACTCTGAATGAATGTTACAGTAAAGTACACTCAGAAGAGTTGTGCAACTGCAAAATCAGGGTTAGTGAGAGAGATTTATTTTGCTTCAGGATCATGTCTTTATGTTGGTCCGGCCGGATGAGTTTCTCCACATCTCCAATGTCATCTCTGCAGGCAAAGGGAAAAACCCTAAAGCAGATCCAGCCTTGACAACATTCTCCACGCCTTGCTCTTTCTCGTCCTCCTCCTTGTTCACCACCTCTTATACTCATACTCTTCCTCCTATCCCTCTTATATTGTTTCCATCCATTGTTGGTATCAACATTCAGTGCAACATTTTGAGTCAATTTTGGGACTCTGAACTAACTTGTATTACAGTACAGACGGTTTGGTCATATCATTAGAAATAAGTGTGAACAATTTTGAGTCGTTGTGTGTAAACGATGACAACTGTGTTGTAATTGTGTTTAACAAGTGTTTGTCAAGTCAAATCAAGTCACCTTTATTTATATAGCGCTTTTTACAATACAGATTGTGTAAGACTGGAAAACTGGTTAGAGAAACTGTCTTGACCACATGGTCTATTGAAACAAAGGAACTTGCTGAAAATTAACATTCGACCTCCCCCTCACGCAGTCTCACCTGATTTACATTTCCTCTCTCTCTCAGTCAGTAACACTAAAAAACGCACACAAATATATGTATGGTTTAATGTGAATGATCATTGTGTTTAGTATCATTTTAAAGGTCTCAGGGTGGTTGGTTCAGATGTCTCATTCCAAATAAGTAAAACAAAAGGTAATACGGTTTTTTAGAAGTTTGGAGAAACTGGCACACAAAGAAAGGTGGACAAATGGCCTTTCTCCCCTACCCCCAAAATAAGGTGTAACCTGAATGCAAATTACCATTGTAAAGGAGTTCTGGCTATTTAATGGAATGCAGCAAGGAGTCGTGGCTTTTTCTGTATTTCAGATAACGATGTAGTTCGTAAATGTTGGGTTGCATCTATTTCTCTAATCCTAAAACATTTGATGATTTGCATTGATTATCTTTCAATTGATTATGGAATTGTTATAATACATTTACCTGACATAATAAATTGTTATATTTGATTATTCTAACAGACTTTGACTTTATTTTCATTGGAGTTAAAAGGAATAGTCAAACATTAACGTATATTTAAAGATGCACAGATATCATTGAAAAACACTTTCATTTTATGGAGTCAGATGAAACGAGTTAATACATAAGATAGAATGTATTGTATTTAATTAAAAATCCCTTTGCCATTGGAAGAGACGGAACGCGCATGCGACCTTCACCGCTAATTTGAATGCCGCCCTTGGATTGAATTAGTCGGACTTACAATTGTATCAAAGCAGCTTCACAGTAATAACATGAAAATAATACAAGTTTGTTTCTAGAAGAAAATTGCATCATAATCCACCTGAAGTAAGGCAAATCAATAATATTGTTGAATAATTAAATGTCCCCAACTAAGCAAGCCAAAAGCCAAGGCAACAGTGGCAAGGAACCAAAACTCCATCAGGTGACAGAATGGAGAAAAAAACCTTGGGAGAACCCAGGCTCATTCAGGGGCCAGTTCTCCTCTGGCCAACACACGAACAGTGTATGATTATGATTCAGGCAATATCACAGGTCAGAAGTCAAATTGGGTCAGAAAATTCACAATATTTATCCAGTTCCATCTGGTTGGAGGTCGGAGTCATCACGCCGGTATGGAGATGAGTTTGTTGAGGTGTCCATGAGGCCTTCACAGGGGCCTGAAGACCCCTTTGTCTGCCTGTGTCACTGCAGTGCAAAATGTGTTTTAGTGAGTGAGAATGTGTTTAGAGTTTTGCAAAAAGAGTTCATGAGATTTGCAAACAGTGTTTTAACTACCTGAACTTGTTTAATATTTTACAGAAAGAGTGATTTATTCGACAAATTGGTTTAGGCTATTGAGAATTTTGTTCAGAGGATGGGGTTTAGTGTTTTAGCAATTCAGAAACACTGTAATACTAGTTTCTAGAATGTTCATGTCTAGTTATTCATTAATGATGGAACAGAATTCTAAAGTGTTACTCAAATTTGTTGGCACAGAACAGAGTACCCATTAAGCTTTTTCAGCCAACAGAATCACCTTTATTTCTTAAAGCTACAATCCGGAAGATTTGTTTTGGTTAAAATAAACAAAATTTCATTAATGAGCAAGATTTAAAAACTAAGTGAAAACAAAAGATCACAGCACTTTGTTTACATGGTAAGTGTGTATTTACCTCTATCTGCACACTGCACAGGGTTTTGCAACAGCTGTTTAATAGATTACACATTAAGTCAAAGCAAAACAACATGAAATAGTGAAAATTTGAAAAGCACACTGTGTACTTGTCACAATATCACCCTGTTTGGACTTGTTTTCTGTTTTGCATCATTAGTGCCACTAGTGTCGTCATAGTTACTGATTTGATTTATCATCACTGTCAACTATGTATCAAAAGAAAGAACAGAGCCTCTGCTTTAAAAAAAAAGTTTTATTCTAGCTTCATACGTTCTTTTTTTAAATTAAAACTTGACTGTGGGTAAGTTTCATAAAAAAAAGCAACATTTTGAGCAAAAGACTGAGAAAAACGCATTTTGTCAAAGACTGCAGGTTGAATTCAGCACGATGATCAAAACATAGATGGAGTAGATTGTCTAAGTCTAAGTAGATCTAAGGTTGCACAGTCCTATACCACTTCCTGGGTCGATATTTCATTCAGTAACTTTAGGCAGTTTTGATTTATATGGTGTTTAATGCTGATGATCGCGTTATTTTACATATATATGTATTTTACATATAACGCTTGTTTCTGCTTCTTCTTCGTCTGTGTTTTGATCAGGAGATTCAGTTCCCTTTCACGAGTTCACACTTACAAATGATCAGAGAATAGATGGTTATGCGTATTTGGCGTGCTGTCCGGGGGGAGGGCTCCGAGCTCGGAAATTGGGCCCGAACCCAGAGTAGTCCCCCCGTATCTCTGTTTAGGAAGATAACTAGGCAAGTGTGAGGAGATGGGGTGGTGGAGGGATGCTAAAAACTATCGAGGAATAAGGGTGAGTCGACTGAGTATATTTATAGGCTTTACTCGTGCTGATTGAGTGGACCTGTTGATTACTGATTGCTGACAGCTGGCTGGAATGACTTGATTGTTTGATCATTAGAACGTGTTCCTCCCGAACCTTGTTAATAAAACATCAATTCACGAGTTCACACTTACAAATGATCAGAGAATAGATGGTTATGCGTATTTGGCGTGCTGTCCGGGGGGAGGGCTCCGAGCTCGGAAATTGGGCCCGAACCCAGAGTACTCCCCATAAAGCAAAGTGAATAAAGGACAGCCGCCTGCTTAAAGACCCCCCGAAAACAGCGCAGAGATTGGCGGGCTGGCATTTCAAGGAGAGCCTGGTTGTTTGGCTGGGAGAGCTCTCGCAGCGTCCGACGGGAGTTCAATGCTTACGGTGTCGGACGGGTAAGTATGGATGTTCGAACGGGAGGGTTCTTGTGGCAATGGTCACAGCATCGGAAAGGGTAAGCCTCACCAGTCAGGAAAGAGAAAAACATAGATGCTTGACTGGGAGGGTTTGGCTACGTCCTCTGGGAGATCAATACTCGCTAGACGGAGGAGGAGGAGATGAAGATGCTTGACCTGGGGAACTCTCGCTGTGTCCGCTGGGAGATCAATACTCGCTGGACGGAGAAAGAGAAGATATAAATACTTGACCGGGAAGGCTGTCTCTGGGTCCGCTGGGAGATCAATACTCGCTGGACGGAAAAAGAGAAGAAATAAATACTCGACCGGGAAGGCTCTCGCTGTGTCCGCTGGGAGATCAATACTCGCTGGACGGAGAAAGAGAAGACATGGATGCTCGACCGGGAAGGCTCTCGCTGTGTCCGCTGGGAGATCAATACTCGCTGGACGGAGAAAAGAGAAGACATGGACGCTTGACCTGGAAGGCTCTCGCTGAGTCCGCTGGGAGATCAATACTCGCTGGATGGAGAAAGAGAAGACATGGATACTCGGAAATTATTATTATTATTATTATTTTTTATTATTATTATTTTTTTTAACCGATGAGGATTTGGTG